TTATGTAATTTTATTTTAAATTGCCTACAATTTAGTTCTTTAACTGCATCTGGTATTTTATTAAATAATTTAGGTGCCAATATAAACATCGTTCTATTGTAAAATTCCAAGGTGGGGCGTTGGTTTGGCCGTATTTCTATTTTGTTCCTTGTTTTCCTGGGATGTCTGGTTTTCACTAGATTAAAGTTGCCTGGATTTTGTTTTATATAAACACAGGCCTCGTAAATATACATAGATGGTAGGGTTAAAATCTTTAGTTTTCTAAAATAGGGTACACAGCTTTCTCGCTGGCCCACACCAAACATGGCCCTGACACATTTCTTCTGGGTTTTAAACAGTGGTGTAATATGTGTTGCAGCAGCGTTCCCCCAAAGCAGCAAACCATATCGCAAACTAGAGGCTACATAGGCGTGATAAATTAGGCATTAAAATAAATTAATAAAATTGAACAAAATAGATACTACTTTATTTTAAATAATAAGAGATTTCCATAATTGCATAGATTGCTTTGTAAACAATAGGACGTTTGGTGCCACGATTCCGTTTAACCAAGGTAAACAACTCTTTTATAGGGAACTGTATACGTTTTTACAATAAGATTCCGGACCATAGATTAAGTTTATCATTTCCTAAGTTTAAAAACTACATTAAAAATATTTTGATCGAAAAATCATATTACAAAATTGAAGACACGTAGTCTTCAATTTTGTTAGATAAAGATGTATGGAAAGACGACATGGCTCCAGAATCCACACAAATTTGATTCAAAGTGTATTCCATAGCATTTAAGTTTATTTGAAAAGAGCAGTCCCTAGAGTTTCTTGCTCGTTCTTCTCAGGGAGGTCAGCGTAGTGAACGAGCAGTAGCTTAAATGTGACGTTTTCAAGTGTAAATTTATTTTACCTATGGAATAAATAATCTTTGACTTTGACTTTGACTTTGACCTTTCATTCGATAACTTTCTTAATAACATTTGTAGCCTTTGCTGGTCGAGAAGCTCGAGTAATCGTACGGGTGTGACGTATTTTCGGTTCAGTTCCGAATATGTCAGTCGTTCGATTCGGTTATTGTGAATAGAAATGAAAACAAATCGTACTATATCTAATCGAATCGGTCGACAACTGAGTTATGGTAAGGTTCTGAATCGACCCCTAGTTCCGAATCCGAGAAATGACGGTCCGAAATGTCACAGGGTTCATTTTATCTACAGGTGTATAGAATTTAGTGCACAAGCGACATCCGAAGTTGGTCCGAGGTTTCTAGATTTGTAGAGTCTCGGAATGGGAATGAATACGAGTGCTGGTGAAATTACGACCACATGTGTCTTATTGACTTATGTCTACACACTTCACAATCATAATAATAATAAAGAACTTTATTTATCTACATTTACAAAACAATTTAGGCGTAAATAACATCACTTATAGATACAGTGTAGATAAAAAGGATAGAGTCTCAGCTTAAGCTGTTTTTCAGACCCTACCATTTTGAAACTCGCTACATTTTAATCATAGTATTTGTCTGACGCGACTCGAGTAGCTCCAAAAGATATCACAAAATAATAAATATATATATACTCACTTAAAGTTATAATAAATCTATTATCCTTATAGTACCTGAGATAGATAAAATATTCCACCTAAAAATACTCAAATTTGGGGTTTAGGTAGAGATGAACAGCACCCACACGTAAAAATGTAATTACAAACTACATCCAATACTTTCTGATCTTTGCCTTGAAAGTAACCAAAGCTTGCACTTTCTTTTAAAAGTACAAGATGACTTCACAACCATCTGCATGCTTGAGGATTTAATCCTGGTCAATAGTAACAAGGTCAACGGGGCTTACTTCTGGACTGCAATAACAGTGCACGTTATCGATTTATTATTGGTAGCTCCATATGAAAGAGCTCGTCGAGAGGGAACTACTGCCACCTTACTTATTTCTGCCGCCAAGCAATAATGTCAGCGTTACTGTGTTCCGGTATTGAAAGGTAAGTAAGGGAGCTGGTGAAATTACAGGCACATGGGACTTGTCAACTTCGCAGTGGCAGTGCCCCTGAAATCTTTGTCACAGGGGTGTAGTTTACCACCCGGCGCACGACTTTCATTATAGACAGCGGTAATTCTAATTACCGTTTCCGTGAAATATTTGTGTCCTAGTAATTCGAAAAGTACTTTGTCTATTCTAATACCATTCCGACATATTGATAGTTTAGCTTAAAAATTGCTCATATTTCAATATTAGGCTGGGAACACCGTATGTCAGAATTGACGTTTAAGTCTCTAATACGTATCTACATTATGTAAGCTTGCAATAAAGTAAGTGCTCATATTTCTTGGTCGGCATGGTAGGTATCTCTATGTGTAATATCAACCTATGTGTATATGAAATCGTTGTAAATATTGATTTTCAAACACACTTTTTGCAAAATAAATTTTGTAAAAAGAGGACATTTAGTTAGAATGACAGTCTTATATTTGTAAATTAAGAAGTATCGATTCCATATAAATTGTATTTTTAAATATTTAGTGTACTATTGACCTAATACTAGAAGTTCGTAGTTGTTCATATGAATAAAATAGCTGGTTTGGAGCGTTCATTCAATGTCCGAACAAGGACAAGACGAGCTAAATGAACTACAAGACCGACGTAGTTCAGTTGACCTATTGAACTAACTAGAATCTCTCTTTTTAAGAACTGTTCAGACTCAAGTTAATAAGGATGTATGGCGTATTGGAAGTTATATAAAATGGAATATGCGAGCTTTGTCGCATTTCGCGACGTGATGTACGTGCGGTAACTTCTATAAGTCTTAACGAAGACATTCCGTTGTCTGCACAGTCGGTGCTCTAAGATATCTGACCTCCAGCAGAACTTTTGGTTCTGAGGGCATCTTACACATTCAACCAGGAAAATGTTCAACGAAGTTTTACTTTATAATAAAAGGAAGACGTTTTAGTTTTGCTTAATAACGATCATTTAAATGTAGCCACTGTACATGCGTATAGATATATAGTCTGTCTTTTTTGAAAACGGAGTAAAATGACAATTCATAGTACAAAAATGTTTCCCGCTTGCAAGCAGCTAGTGATTGTAGTCGATAAATATTTTATCGACTATCGATGGGGTATTGGTCACACTTATGGCATAAGTAGCCGAACTTGTTTCATTTGAATCATTATTCATCCAATTACTGAGTTCATACGTACATGTACTATATTTAGAACTCTGTTTATGAAAAATACAAAGAGGAGACATATTTTTAAGTTTTCCATTTTAATTCAATACAGACAATCAAATCCCACTATTCTTGTTAAAATATATATGAATAAAAATTGATCTGGATACAAGTAGGCCAACTGTCAAAATAAGAATGAAGATGGCAATAACGTAATTAGTTATCATTAGAACATCGTAACATTCTTAATTCAGTCATTTTTGGGAACATTTTAGCGTCTTTCACAATCTATCGATAAAACTATCGACAACAACTACATAACTATTTAAAAATTTTATGAAAACTGCTAACCCTACAAATATCATTTTACTCCGTTTTCAACAAAGACTTCTAGAAGGTCTTTTTCCGAAATAACGTTTGTTCGAATTTTCATTACATCGAAAACCGATTTATAACGAAACCCTTGTTCTTTTAAGATAATGTTGGATGTTTATCGCAAAGACACGATTGGGTTCGGTTAGGTTAGGTTAAGTTAGGTTTAAAAGAAAAATCATTTTCCTCCCAAAATTACTTTCGAGGTTATGAAAATTCGAGCAAACGCTATTTCTGGCAAATGTCGTTTCAGATTACCGGTAGGTAACCCTCATAGAAGAGAAATTTATATAGGAAAAATTATAGACAGAAAATACATACTAAAACATTTATTTAACGTATAAATTGACAATAATACACATATTATATTAAAAATTAACTACGTAATTAAAATGATACTATTATATAAAGTGCAGGTATTCTTACTATAATAATATGAAAATTAAATATATATAACTATAGCTATAATTGTTACTGACTTTTCATTAGATTCTGCAGCATATTTAGTGGAAGTTGCAACGGCAGGGTGGCCAGGTTCTGCACGGAGGACATGCCGGACTGGACGGATGAGGCTCCGCTGGTCATCAAACCCTGGGCTGGATTAGCTAGGGTTATGGAATCGCTTTGTGGATTTTGGGGGCGAGCAATGGCGGTTGCTAAGAACGCTGCGGAGAAAGAATTAAATATCGTTTAATACTTAATAAATTACTGTAATTTTTGTCATAACATTTTCCTACCAAGATATTCAAGTTTTCTAGCGCGGGCTGGTAGCTGTAAAGGCGCCTAACTGGGTGACGAAATACTTTCATAGATCTCTAATAGATGGCGCTACGGCTACCACCGGACCTTACTTTTTTACGGACTTTTTCAATGTGCTTGTTGCTGCACATGGGACTTGTCAACTTATGCCTCATGGTGACAGGCGCAGTGGCAGTGCCCCTCAGACCTTTGCGGCTTAAAGCTCTGGAGTGGCACAGACAGGCGTGTAGCTTACCATCAGGTGCACGACTTGTTCGTCCCGTTACTTGATATTAAAAAAAAATACATACATTTATAAAATTTTCCTAGTTTTTCGCATTATGCTCAAAACTATAGTCCTTTGACGGGTGTACAGACGTATGCTTGCAAGCTTGTCGAATAATAAAAAATTTAGGAATACATCGAGTTCTAACTCAACCGTGACCATTGGACCTGTAAAGAGCCCGAAACGTTGGTTTATTTGAATAATCTCAGTACAGAGTACTAAAAAACCGACCTCAAAAGTACTTGGAATTACGTCTATTTGCTAAGTTTTATTGAAATATCACCTAGTTCGCCACTATACAGGACTTGACACTGGAGATAATAAAAATCGGTTCTCAATACTCAAAGTATATTGAGAGAAAAACGCCTTGTATTGGAGAAATAGCGAAATCATCCATTAAAATAATTGCTCCTAAATTAAAGTTGGGCGCTATTCATAAAACTGAATCTTCATGCGTGAACAGCCACCCTTAGAGGTGGATGATTTTCTTCTAAATGAAATGAGATCACTATGGAATTACCCCCTTTCCAGCAAAAAAAGAATCATGAAAATCGGTTTACAAATACCGGAGTTATCGCGGAACATACATACAAAAAAAAATTAACATAAGTCGAATTGAGAACCTCCTCCTTTTTTGAAGCCGGTTAAAAAACAAATATACGCGATTTCAATCCGTAAAAATAGTTTCATTTCTTAAGTTAGAAATATTTAGAATTGTTAATGAAAGAAGGTGCAGTATTTTGGCTACGTAATGATGGGCAATAGATACCGGATTCTTCAACTAATAATGCAGGGGAAAGTACAAGGAAAGCGTAGTCGAGGCAAAAGGAAAACCTCGTGGTTGAAGAACCTGAGAAACTGGCTCCACCTTAGCATACATTCCTTCTTTCGTGCGGCAGCTTAAAAATGAGGATAGCCATGATCACCAACCTTCGTAGAGAAGCGGCACACTAAGAAGAAATTTTTCGCATCTAATTTGGGTATATTTGTTTTTTTCAAACAAGTCAACGTTCGGGCGGTCATTTAGTGGTTCCATGGCTAGTGGTTCCATGGCCAATCAGCCGTGACCATGGAACCAGAATGTATAAGAGCTCAACCAAAGTCATTTGAGGTTGTATACACTCGTAAGTGACTGTTTTAATACTTTTTTTTCTTTGGTGACGTTCTTATGTATGGCGATAATACCAACATGATTGACAGCAAATTTAATATCGAAATAATATGGGTACAGCAGGCATGGCGCGAAATTTGAAAAAGCAAGGTTTTCGTTTAGAGACTGTATTAGTTTTGACGTGTACGTCACACGTCAATATCACAGCCTCTTAAAACGGTAGTTAGAAAAACTCGCACGGCTAGAAGATGCTGACACCCGCCTCTTCAGTCCCTTCGAGACCATGGACGTTGCAATACGTCCGAAACGTCGAGGTAATTAAAATATATTTTATACGTGATTAAGTCTCGAATTAGAAATCAAATAATGAGGCAGTATCGACTTCTAATTATGTGTGTGAAGTTTCCAATCTATTCTGTATTAAGTCAATACTGTGCAACAAATTCCGTAGTCATTCAGCTCGGTAATGCTACCAATGTTAAGGGGACGTTTGCACCAGCTACGATTCTGACGGTCCTTTTTCATTCTTATAGTTTAATAAAAATAACTAAATTTGCCGATACATATTTCTGTCTACCTGACGAAGGCTACGTTGATTGACATTTGTTGGTAATCAATTAAACTTTTTAATTTATGATTATAGTCCAGAGAGGTTGTTAGTAAAAAGTAATCCTGTTAAGGCAATAATATTATTATTTAATTACATTTGTTAACTACCTATTTATTTATTACCTATATATAATATAATTACCTAACCGTAATCATGTTTATTATTGTAATAACTACAAAATCTCGACCATCGCAGAAAAGTTGGCTGCTTTTCTATCGGGTAAACATTTCGGGGAGTGTGCTCAGGAACTTTTCAATTTGATTCCACCCTCACCGCTCCTCCTTCGGTCGACTAGAAGGTCCGGAACACTCCATCCTTATGTCGTTGATATACCGCCTATTCGCACTAAGCGCTATGCTTCCTCCTTTCTGATGCGTACGGCAAAGGAATGGAATACTTTTACTTCTGTATTTCCCGAAAACTACAATTCAAGGCTAGAGGCAATAGGCATTTTTTTTAGGCAAACGCGTCTCATCGTCGGTCACATCGTCGCTTAACATCAGGTGAGATTGATTGTAGCCAAGCGTGTGTCTATTATATATTTAAAAAAAAATGTTTATATTTATGTCATATAAAATCTAAGCAGCTTGAATATAGTCAAAACTAGATATCCTAGAAACACAAGGAATAAAACTCAGACAACGTCCTAACTTGGAATTTTACAGAAGAGCGATGTTCGTATGAGCACCTTAATTATTTAATAAATTACCGGATGCTATTAAAGAATCAAATTGTAGACAATTTAAAATGAAATTGCATAATTTGTTAGTTACCCAATGCTGCTACAATATTGATGATTTTTTACTTGATAAAATAAAATCTAAAATTTAACTATTCTATGTTACCTATATTTTTGACTTCCTATTTTCCGGTTAAATTCCAATTGTTATTGTTTGTTTATGCTATTGTATTAATTTAACTTTAATGCATGCTACATCAAAAATGGAAAAAGTTGTGTAAAATATTCGTATACCAAGTTTATGGTGAAATGTACGATGTAATATGATTATACTATAAGACCTGCAATGTTAACTACATTTTTCAACGAATAAATATCCTGTATTTTTGCATTCTGTATATTTTCGAGCAGACCCGTGTGCAGTAGTACGTAGCTCATTAGAAAACTAAAAAGAAAAAACAATTTTCTTACCCAAAAACAAAAAACGAAACAAATTCTTCATTTCTAAAAACAAAATAAATATCAAACAAAATACCTAGCACATTACACTAACTTGCACAAGAAATTAAACATAAGTATTTCAAAATCGTATTTAAATATTATGTTACTTTAAAAATTTTATATCCTCACGCTTATTTCAAGCTAAACTTATATTATTTTTAAAATATAATAACACCATAACTAAATTTTCAATAAGTCTGGTGATTTCGAAATCAATTCCATAGCGTGGCAAATTTTTTGTTATCGCGGCTATTGCTTACGATTTCACTTACGTGGTCGATATAATAATGTAGTGTTGATTATATCCAGTAATTATCACCACAGAAATATATCATCTAAATCACAGAACAATAAACACACTAGAAGTGGTTAGTTAGCGTCTAATGCGTGCCAACTATAGGTCTCGAAAGACCTATCTGAGCTCAGACCGTCATTTTCCCTTTGAATTTTTTTTAACCGAATTTCAAAAAAGGAGGAGGTTCTCAATTCGACTGTATGTTCTTTTTTTTTTGTTTTTTTTTTTGCATGTATGTTACGCGATAACTCCGGTATTTGTGAACCGATTTTCATGATTCTTTTTTTGTTTGAAAGGGGGTATTTCCATAGTGGTCCCATTTCATTTTCAAGAAAATCATCCACCTCAAAGGGTGGATGTTCACGCATGAAGTTTCATTTTTATAAATAGCGCCTAACTTCAATTTAGGAGCAATTACTTTTAGCAATTATTTACTTGATTTTGCTATTTCTCCAATTCAAGGCGTTTTTCTCTCGATATTGAGTAGTGTCGTAGTGAGAACCGATTTTTATTATCTCCAGTATCAAGTCCTGTATAGTGGCGAACTAGGGGATATTTCAATGAAACTTAGCAAATAGACGTAATTCCACGTACTTTTGAGGTCGGTTTTTTTAGTACTCTGTACTGAGATTATTATGACATCAAATGACGGGACGAACAAGTCGTGCGCCTGATGGTAAGCTACACGCCTGTCCATAACAGTTGCAGTGCCACTCGGAGATCTGAAGGGCACTGCCACTCCACCCGTCACCCTGAGACATAACTTCACAAGTCTCATGTGCTTGTAATTTCACCAGCACCCGTCAAAACCGGAACGCAGTAATGCTCACATGCGTCGTACGCGGATAGGTTCCAAAGCAAAGAATCAATTATGACAAGACCTGAATGTGGAAAATATGAAAGAGTGATCAGCGGACTGCAAAACCTATAGTATATGGAGGGGATATTTGTGCACTTTTATGAGATACATCGTGGGTAATTTCCACCGGAAGTAAAAAATGTTCGAAATTCAAATAAATAGGTGCCACATAACAAATTTCGAAGCCTTCTGTCACGGATACTATTACAGATAGGTACAATGTGCTCAAAGGAATGTCATAGTGGGCAACAGTGGTCCTGTATCGAAATTAATTCAAGATGGTGAATTCAAAATGGCCGCCGAAGAAAAACTTGCTTCGGTCCGGCTGAAAATTGACATGCGCGGGTCTTTAGGAGTGCTTAATCATAATTTGGGGTCAAAAGTTTTTTTACGCCATTTTTGAATATGGCTGCCGTATAAGCGTTTTTTCGTTAAATAGCTGCCTAAAGAGACGTGATCTGTTTCTCTAGTCACAAACAGATCAAACTGCAGTGGTGCTGTGAGTACGGAGTTGAGGAGTGTCGCCGCATGGGAAAAGGGCGAGTGTCTCGGCACTGTTCAGTACGTCAAGGCACAGTTGCTAACAAGGACACACCACGCCGCCTGGTCATTTTTAACCGACTTCAAAAAAAGGAGGAGGTTCTCAATTCGACAGTGTTTTTTTTTGTATGTATGTTACGCGATAACTCCGGTATTTGTGAACCGATTTTCATGATTCTTTTTTTGTTGGAAAGGGGGTACTTCCATAGTGGTCCCATTTCATTTTGATGAAAAACATACAACTCTAATCACGCGTGAACATTCATTTTGATAAATAGCGCCTAAATTTTACTTAAGGAGCAATTACTTTAATGGTTGGTTTTGATATTCTCCAATTCAAGGCGTTTTCCTCTCCCAATATACTTTGAGTAGTGAGAACCGGTTTTTATTATCTCCAGTGTCAAGTCCTGTATAGTGGCGAACTAGGGGATATTTCAATAAATCTTGGCAAATAGACGTAATTCCACGTACTTTTGAGGTCGGTTGTTTTAGTACTCTGTACTGAGATTATGACTAATAGATAACATCGAACAACATTCAGAGCAAAAAATTAGTACTTAATTATGAAATAATGAAATTGATATTACAATGTTTCGTAAGAGCTCGTTTTTTTGCATCATAGTTTCTTTTTAATTCTTAAATTCGTGTGAAAAATCAATACAGACAACCTATCCGATATAAGTTACTTGTAAAAAAGCGACTCGGAATCCTTGTTTGTTTCTTGTTACTGCTATCTAAAGCATTTTATTAAGCACGGCGAAGTTGGATTCGATTTCCCCGAGAAGCAATTTAGTAGGCGAACTTTTATCAATTGGTTCTGGGCGTTTTGCCTTCCAAGTTATAGCTACTCTGGTATTCATAGGGAATTGTTTTTGGAACAAATGCATAAGGTACTAGATATATGTATAATCTACTAGATATAAATATATATATATATTGTGAAAGAGTTCGTCCAGGGTATTAGTGCCACCTTGCCTATTTCTGCCGCCAAGCAGAAATGTCAGCATTACTGTGTTCCGGTTTTGAAGGGCAAGGGTGCTGGTGAAATTACAGGCACATGCGACTGGTCAACTTCTGTCTCAAGGAGAAGGGCGCAGTGGCAGTGCCCCTCAGACCTTTGCGATCTAAAGCCCTAATTAAATGAAATTATGTTTATTTGCATTGAATAGGTTTTTACAGGATGGTAGTTACTACGTTAGTGCACATAACGCACACACGCACACACTCAACATAGCCCCGCACTAGGGAATCCCTGTGTCGCGGGTGCCATGGACACACACATAGACAACCACAAATTACACCCAAACTCACGGGAGAAATAATTGTAGGCCATACAACTATTTCTCTCGGCCCGGGAATCGAACCTGGGACCTCTGTGTGGCAGTCCGGCATGGTAACCGTTCGGCCACGGAGGCAGTTTATAAACATAACATAAAGAGAGTACATAACAAGAAATAGAGACGAAATGTCATTTAATTTGTTTGTAAATTTTTCTGCCAAATCAATACGGTGACAACCTCGCTTCGATTGGCCAGCCCGAATTCGAAACAATTGACGGGTATTATCAATGGGTGTCGTCAATTGTTTCACTTGAAATCGACCAGTTTAACTTGAACTTTGCTTTAATGGACGAAAATTGCAAAATTACATATTTAATATTTAATTACCGATGAAAATGATTTCGTTTGTTTTGTAATTAGATGTTTTGCTATTTTTCCCACACCACCGAATGGAACAGCCCCCATTGTTAGAGATATTATCTTTATTACAATAAATACAGAATATTTTTGGAATATACGGACACGTACGTAAGTAGGTCACTTGTTGGCGCTGTACTGTTTCAGCTTTCTAATTTGTGATTTCAGCGCAAACGCGAGTTGATATTTAAAAGTGATATAAGGCCCATTTGCCTGACAAGTTGCCAGGGATAGGTAGCATTTATTTCATGTCTATTTATGGTTATATACTCTTATAAATTTAATTTTCTAATTATTTATTTACGCTACAATATCCTTTTGTAGCTATTTTCTACAATTCAGTTGTCATTCTTTCAAATGTCAGAGTTTTCATTTCAATTGGTAATCTGTTATAATTATTAATACAAAGATTAAAACACTTAGAAAAAAATATTTCGATCTGGCCGGATTCGAACCAAGATCTTCCAGCAAACCCTGTCTGACGCTATGCGAACTAAGCCACAGAACGAACCAGTGGACCTCACGAATAGTGATGAAAGAGACTCAGTCTTTTAAGGCCTTTTAAAAAACTTCGACTAATTTTTAACGCCTCACTAGTCTAGTCTTTTGACCCTCAAGTCTTGAGTCATAAGACTAAAACTGAAGACTAATTCGAGTCGAAGGCTTTTAATCCCAAGGAAGCTTAAAAGACTTATAGGACTAAAACGACTGGAGCCTCATAGCCTCGGGAGTTGAGAGTCATGAGCCCTATGGCGTGATTTTATTTCTATCTACAAGGTATTTATTTACAATTTTTATTATAAGTAAATAAACGTGAATATTTACTACTTACGTCATTTTTGGTTATAAACTTTGGGTTTAATAAGACTTAAAATAGGTATAAGTTCTTTGCAAACAACTCAAGTCGTTTAAGTCTTTCAAGTCGATTAAGTCCTTTGAGTCGTTTAGTATAACGACTGAGGTGTAATAAAAACTCGAATCCCCAGTCTTAATTTTAGAGTCGAGTCCTGTAAAATGGAGTCGAGTCGTTATAAAACGCCTGAGTCTCTTTCATCATCACGAATCTTTCTATGTGCTTGTTGTCGGATGTTTATATCTAATTTTTATCAACTTTTTAGTATGAGAAATCTGTGAAAGTATTTCGTCCGAGATGGCGCCACGACTAAAAAGTAAATAAAAACCATACAGACAAAGATCATTATAATAAAATATACTTTTTTATGATCTCTAATGACGGGACGAGCAAGTCGTGTGCCTAGTGGTAAGCTAAACCCGTTCATAAAATAATAATAAATAACGCACACACTCAACATAGCCCCGCACTAGGGAAACCCTGCGTCGCGGGTGCCATGGACACACACATAGACAACCACAAATTACACCCAAACTCACGAGAGAAATAAATGTAGGCCATACAAATATTTCTCCCGGCCCGGGAATCGAACCCGGGGACCTCCGCGTGGCAGTCCGGTATGGTAACCATTCGGCCACGGAGGCAGTTGCAAAGCAATGTTTTACATTGGGGGTTTTGTAAGTTTTGATTTAAGTTTTGTTCATATCGTTCATTTTATAAAAGTGCGTTTCATAGTATATTTTTAATTTGAAACAGATTACCGCTAATAAGCAAAGAGAAAATGTTTATAGTCTTAACGTCACGAGCGCACGCGCAGCGAGCACGTG